CCATAAATCCCTGCGTGCCCTCCCCCCACCCCCAGCCTCTATTCATCCCTGAGTATCCTCCACCCATCAACAGCCTCCATACATCCCTGTGTGTCCTCCACCCATCACCAGCCTCCATAAATCCCTGCGTGACCTCCACCCATCACCAGCCTCTATTCATCCCTGCGTATCCTCCACCCATCAACAGCCTCCGTTCATCCCTGCGTGTCCTCCACCCATCACCAGCCTCCATACACCCCTGCGTGTCCTCCACCCATCACCAGCCTCCATACATCCCTGCGTCTCCTCCACCCATCACCAGCCTCCATACATCCCTGCGTCTCCTCCACCCATCACCAGCCTCCATACATCTGCGTGTCCCTCACACATTTACCTTCTTCAGTATTCAAGACATCCATCCCGATTCCTTTTCTTTAGTTTCTTTCCCTGTCCCTCCTCTTCTTCTATCCGTCTGTCCCATAGAGCCTCCTCTTCCTCCATCCGTCTGTCCCATAGAGCCTCCTCTTCCTCCATCCGTCTGTCCCATAGAGCCTCCTCGTCCTCTATCAGTCTGTCCCGTAGGCCTCCTCTGACCTTCTGTCCCGTACGGCCTCCTTTTCCTCTGTCCGTCTGTCCCGTACGGCCTCCTTTTCCTGTCCCGTACGGCCTCCTCTTCCTCTATCCGTCTGCCCCGTATGGCTTCCTCTATCCGTCTGCCCCGTATGGCTTCCTCTATCCGTCTGCCCCGTATGGCTTCCTCTATCTGTCTGCCCCGTACGGCCTCCTCTTCCTCTATCTGTCTGCCCCGTACGGCCTCCTCCTCCTCTATCCGTCTGCCCCGTGCGGCCTCCTCTATCCGTCTGCCCCGTACGGCCTCCTCTTCCTCTATCCGTCTGCCCCGTACGGCCTCCTCTTCCTCTATCCGTCTGCCCCGTACGGCCTCCTCTTCCTCTATCCGTCTGCCCCGTACGGCCTCCTCTTCCTCTATCCGTCTGCCCCGTACGGCCTCCTCTTCCTCTATCCGTCTGCCCCGTACGGCCTCCTCTTCCTCTATCCGTCTGCCCCGTACGGCCTCCTCTTCCTCTATCCGTCTGCCCCGTACGGCCTCCTCTTCCTCTATCCGTCTGCCCCGTACGGCCTCCTCTTCCTCTATCCGTCTGCCCCGTACGGCCTCCTCTTCCTCAATCCGTCTGTCCCGTACGGCCTCCTCTTCCTCTATCCGTCTGTCCCGTACGGCCTCCTCTTCCTCCTATCCGTCTGTCCCGTACGGCCTCCTCTTCCTCCTATCCGTCTGTCCCGTACGGCCTCCTCTATCCGTCTTTCCTGTAGCTCTTCCTCTCCATCTGTCTTGAAAACTAGAAGAGATTCAAGAAGATAAAAGGAGAGGAGGCCGTACAACACAGATATGACGAGTCCCTCTATCCATCCATCTGCCTTGTGTGGCCTCCTCTCCTGTTATCCGCTTGTCTGCCCTTTACCGCCTCTTCTCTCCGTCCATCAGCCTTGTAGAACCTCCTCATCCATGTGCAGCTCGGCCTCAATCTTCTTGTGTTTTGTGTTCCAGTTATTGAACAGGTCCCAGTATAAGTCCGGTCATGGCGAGTCCAGTGGTGCGTCAGATTGACAAGCAGTTCCTCGTCTGCAGTATTTGCCTGGAGCGCTATCACATTCCCAAGGTCCTGCCGTGTCTGCACACCTTCTGTGAGAGGTAAGTCTGGGAAGGAGGCCGCCCGGTCCTCCTATTTCCTGCTTCGGATTGGACAATAAGGATCCTTATGTTGGGGTTGAAGCTTTGTGAATGTGAGATGGTGGAGTCTTCATGGAACGGTCATACATGATGCTGATGTGAGGGAGTCTGGTGGTGTCTTCATGGAACAGTCATACATGATGCTGATATGAGGGAGTATTGGGGTGTCTTTATGGAACAGTCATACATGATGCTGATATGAGGGAGTATTGGGGTGTCTTTATGGAACAGTCATACATGATGCTGATATGAGGGAGTATTGGGGTGTCTTTATGGAACAGTCATACATGATGCTGATATGAGGGAGTATTGGGGTGTCTTTATGGAACAGTCATACATGATGCTGATATGAGGGAGTATTGGGGTGTCTTTATGGAACAGTCATACATGATGCTGATATGAGGGAGTATTGGGGTGTCTTTATGGAACAGTCATACATGATGCTGATATGAGGGAGTATTGGGGTGTCTTTATGGAACAGTCATACATGATGCTGATATGAGGGAGTATTGGGGTGTCTTTATGGAACAGTCATACATGATGCTGATATGAGGGAGTATTGGGGTGTCTTTATGGAACAGTCATACATGATGCTGATATGAGGGAGTATTGGGGTGTCTTTATGGAACAGTCATACATGATGCTGATATGAGGGAGTATTGGGGTGTCTTTATGGAACAGTCATACATGATGCTGATATGAGGGAGTATTGGGGTGTCTTTATGGAACAGTCATACATGATGCTGATATGAGGGAGTATTGGGGTGTCTTTATGGAACAGTCATACATGATGCTGATATGAGGGAGTATTGGGGTGTCTTTATGGAACAGTCATACATGATGCTGATATGAGGGAGTATTGGGGTGTCTTTATGGAACAGTCATACATGATGCTGATATGAGGGAGTATTGGGGTGTCTTTATGGAACAGTCATACATGATGCTGATATGAGGGAGTATTGGGGTGTCTTTATGGAACAGTCATACATGATGCTGATATGAGGGAGTATTGGGGTGTCTTTATGGAACAGTCATACATGATGCTGATATGAGGGAGTATTGGGGTGTCTTTATGGAACAGTCATACATGATGCTGATATGAGGGAGTATTGGGGTGTCTTTATGGAACAGTCATACATGATGCTGATATGAGGGAGTATTGGGGTGTCTTTATGGAACAGTCATACATGATGCTGATATGAGGGAGTATTGGGGTGTCTTTATGGAACAGTCATACATGATGCTGATATGAGGGAGTATTGGGGTGTCTTTATGGAACAGTCATACATGATGCTGATATGAGGGAGTATTGGGGTGTCTTTATGGAACAGTCATACATGATGCTGATATGAGGGAGTATTGGGGTGTCTTTATGGAACAGTCATACATGATGCTGATATGAGGGAGTATTGGGGTGTCTTTATGGAACAGTCATACATGATGCTGATATGAGGGAGTATTGGGGTGTCTTTATGGAACAGTCATACATGATGCTGATATGAGGGAGTATTGGGGTGTCTTTATGGAACAGTCATACATGATGCTGATATGAGGGAGTATTGGGGTGTCTTTATGGAACAGTCATACATGATGCTGATATGAGGGAGTATTGGGGTGTCTTTATGGAACAGTCATACATGATGCTGATATGAGGGAGTATTGGGGTGTCTTTATGGAACAGTCATACATGATGCTGATATGAGGGAGTATTGGGGTGTCTTTATGGAACAGTCATACATGATGCTGATATGAGGGAGTATTGGGGTGTCTTTATGGAACAGTCATACATGATGCTGATATGAGGGAGTATTGGGGTGTCTTTATGGAACAGTCATACATGATGCTGATATGAGGGAGTATTGGGGTGTCTTTATGGAACAGTCATACATGATGCTGATATGAGGGAGTATTGGGGTGTCTTTATGGAACAGTCATACATGATGCTGATATGAGGGAGTATTGGGGTGTCTTTATGGAACAGTCATACATGATGCTGATATGAGGGAGTATTGGGGTGTCTTTATGGAACAGTCATACATGATGCTGATATGAGGGAGTATTGGGGTGTCTTTATGGAACAGTCATACATGATGCTGATATGAGGGAGTATTGGGGTGTCTTTATGGAACAGTCATACATGATGCTGATATGAGGGAGTATTGGGGTGTCTTTATGGAACAGTCATACATGATGCTGATATGAGGGAGTATTGGGGTGTCTTTATGGAACAGTCATACATGATGCTGATATGAGGGAGTATTGGGGTGTCTTTATGGAACAGTCATACATGATGCTGATATGAGGGAGTATTGGGGTGTCTTTATGGAACAGTCATACATGATGCTGATATGAGGGAGTATTGGGGTGTCTTTATGGAACAGTCATACATGATGCTGATATGAGGGAGTATTGGGGTGTCTTTATGGAACAGTCATACATGATGCTGATATGAGGGAGTATTGGGGTGTCTTTATGGAACAGTCATACATGATGCTGATATGAGGGAGTATTGGGGTGTCTTTATGGAACAGTCATACATGATGCTGATATGAGGGAGTATTGGGGTGTCTTTATGGAACAGTCATACATGATGCTGATATGAGGGAGTATTGGGGTGTCTTTATGGAACAGTCATACATGATGCTGATATGAGGGAGTATTGGGGTGTCTTTATGGAACAGTCATACATGATGCTGATATGAGGGAGTATTGGGGTGTCTTTATGGAACAGTCATACATGATGCTGATATGAGGGAGTATTGGGGTGTCTTTATGGAACAGTCATACATGATGCTGATATGAGGGAGTATTGGGGTGTCTTTATGGAACAGTCATACATGATGCTGATATGAGGGAGTATTGGGGTGTCTTTATGGAACAGTCATACATGATGCTGATATGAGGGAGTATTGGGGTGTCTTTATGGAACAGTCATACATGATGCTGATATGAGGGAGTATTGGGGTGTCTTTATGGAACAGTCATACATGATGCTGATATGAGGGAGTATTGGGGTGTCTTTATGGAACAGTCATACATGATGCTGATATGAGGGAGTATTGGGGTGTCTTTATGGAACAGTCATACATGATGCTGATATGAGGGAGTATTGGGGTGTCTTTATGGAACAGTCATACATGATGCTGATATGAGGGAGTATTGGGGTGTCTTTATGGAACAGTCATACATGATGCTGATATGAGGGAGTATTGGGGTGTCTTTATGGAACAGTCATACATGATGCTGATATGAGGGAGTATTGGGGTGTCTTTATGGAACAGTCATACATGATGCTGATATGAGGGAGTATTGGGGTGTCTTTATGGAACAGTCATACATGATGCTGATATGAGGGAGTATTGGGGTGTCTTTATGGAACAGTCATACATGATGCTGATATGAGGGAGTATTGGGGTGTCTTTATGGAACAGTCATACATGATGCTGATATGAGGGAGTATTGGGGTGTGTTCATGGAACGGTCATACATGATGCTGATGTGTGGGAGTCTGGTGGTGTCGTCATGGAAGTGTCATATATTGTGGAGGAAGATGACAATTGTGTCTTCATGTAAGTGTCATACATGGTGTTGATGTGTGGGAGTCTGGTGGTGTCTTCATGGAACGGTCATACATGGTGTTGATGTGGAAGAATATGGCGGCTGTCTTCATGGATGTATCACACAGTGTTCTGGTATGAAGGAGCATGACAACTGTGTCCTCATGGAAGTGTCCAGCATTGTGTTGATGGTGAGGTGTAGGGTTGTGTCTTCATAGAAGTATTGGTCATTGTGTCCATGTTGTGGTGTAGGGTTGTATATTCATGGATGGATTGGACGTTGTGGTGTAGGGTTGTATATTCATGGAAGTATTGGACGTTGTGGTGTAGGGTTGTAAGTATTGGACGTTGTGGTGTAGGGTTGCATATTCATGGAAGTATTGGACATTGTGGTGTAGGGTTGTATATATTATGGAAGTATTGGACGTTGTGGTGTAGGGTTGTATATTCATGGAAGTATTGGACATTGTGGTGTAGGGTTGTATATTCATGGAAGGATTGGACATTGTGGTGGGGTGTAGAAAGGCATCTTATTGAAAATGTCGGCCATTGTTTTGGTATGGAGGAGCATAGTGTTTTCCTGGAGGTGGAGGACGTTGGTCGTTGTGTTGATGCTGAGGGTTAGGGTTGTGTCTTCATGAAGTTGTAGGTCATCCTGTTGGTGTGAAGGAGGACAACACTTTATCATTGTGATGATGTGGAAATGATGAAATTTGCCTCTTTATGGTGGAGTCGGGTGTTGTGCTGTGTGGAGGAGGGTCAGGATTATATCCTTACGAATGTGTTGAACATTGGGTTGTGTTGACAATACTGATGTTGGTGTATTTGTTATGTTGGGGACTCTGACCATCTCCTGTACTATGTCTGCAGTGTCTGACCATCTCCTGTACTGTGTCTGCAGTCTCTGACCATCCCCTGTACTGTGTATGCAGTCTCTGACCATCTCCTGTACTATGTCTGCAGTCTCTGACCATCTCCTGTACTGTGTCTGCAGTCTCTGACCATCCCCTGTACTGTGTCTGCAGTCTCTGACCATCCCCTGTACTGTGTCTGCAGTCTCTGACCATCTCCAGTAGTGTGTCTGCAGTCTCTGACCATCTCCTGTACTGTGTCTGCATTCTCTGACCATCTCCTGTACTGTGTCCGCATTCTCCTACCATCTCCTGTACTGTGTCTGCATTCTCTGACCATCTCCTGTACTGTGTCTGCATTCTCTGACCATCTCCGGCAGCGTGTCTGCGGTCTCTGCTCACCTCCGGCAGCGTGTCTGCGGTCTCTGCTCACCTCCGGCAGCGTGTCTGCGGTCTCTGCTCACCTCCGGCAGCGTGTCTGCGGTCTTTGCTCACCTCCGGCACCGTGTCTGCGGACTCTAGTTACAGGCCTATGAATCAGCGCGGACAATACTCACCGC